TTTTCAGTCATACTCCAAAATCCATTGCATTGAAGTGCAGTAGTGCAAAATAAGATCTATTTGTGCAAGGCTGTTGATTGCTAAGGAGATAAAATTGCATTTGAATTAACTGCAGATTATGTCCTTCACTGCCTATTCAGCATGTCTGTCTGAGCAGTCCTGAATGGGAATTGCTTGAGTGTTTAAAATCAGAAGCCTGCCTAAGTACCTGCAGAGCTGAGACCTTTTTCTCTATGATTGTACATAATTCTCAACCGCACAAGCCATGAGATACTACCTATATAATCTCTGATTTGTTAACATTTATGATTTTAGGGGAGAAGGTTCAGCGGTTTCATGTTTAAAACATGAGTCAACTTGAATTTTCAGAAATTGATTTACTTTGTTGAGAGCGTTGCTTCTAACAGAGTCTTTCCTTCTTTTTGTGTGTGGGTCCCTCACAGAAGAGCGTTGCTTCTAAAAGAGTCTTCTTTTTGTGTGTGGGTCCCTCACAGGCCTCGAGGACATGCACCCGTATTTGCGGGCCAGGAACCCAACTAGACTTGAGGAAGGGGTCCAGAGACTTAGTGCAGCTAGTGAAACTAATGAGAGGAGCTGGCCGCAGGGTGCTGAAAAACACACAAAGCAAACAAAGAGAAACACAGTAGAAAAACATTCACTGTTACAAGAAATTAAGTAATGCTGGTACTTGTCCCCAGTCTAGCAGATAATTACGCATTTTGCTTAATGCACTCACTTTATATTACTGTGTGTAGGATCAGAACTGAAAGCCAATATAAAATGTTCGGACAATTTGACTGTGTCCATTTCAAAAGTGAAATTTCAGTCAGTGCTGGTCTGGTTCTGGTCTGGTATTTCTTCTCATAATTCAAAGTAACTTCTGGTTATGAAAATAAGCCATATTGGCCTAGAATAAAACTTAAAAGGATGTGCTACTTTAGTTACTATGTTTTGCGAGCTAAATGAAGAGTTGCATTCATATCTACCTTAACTCATCTTTATGGTTATGTATATAATGAGAAGAATCCAAAGTCTTTAATGTTTGTTTTGCAGTTGAAACATTGCTATGAACTGAGTTCCTAATATTTTTAAACATCATGGAAAAACCTTCACAAAATGCTTCTAAGTTTTTATTTTGCCTGCTGTTGTTCCGATGGTACCGAGGTGTGTGTGTATGTGGACTCACAGAATTGAGTTCTTAAATCAGCCGGTGCATGAGAAACATCTAATACTGAAAACAGTGATTTTCCATTTAACTGTCATTTCCATGCTTCTGCTCTTATCTCCAGGTGAAGCGCTGGGAATTTTTACACGCTCCTGTTACCCTCCTGCTTAGCGATATAATGTTCATATCAAATGTGTATTGTATCTTTACACAAAAGCATTCCTTAGCTAACTTTGTTCTAACGATTGGCTGCGGTGTTGGGTGACTCTCTGGCGAGGGAAGCTGACCCTCTCGCCGCTTGCAGGGCGAGAGCATGGACAACTTCAACTGGGGCGTTCGCCGGCGCTCCCTGGACAGCCTGGACAAGTGCGACATGCAGCTGCTGGAGGAGAGCCAGCTCTCGGGGAGCACGCCCAGCCTCAGCAAAATGAACCACGAGGACTCCGACGAGTCATCCGAGGAGGAGGACCTGACCGCCAGCCAAATCCTGGAGCACTCCGACCTAGTAAGTTGTTCGCTGGAAGTTTAGCGAGAGCTGGGGTGCTGGTTTTTAGGACGCTGCTCCTCCCGCTACCTCTTGCCTCCGTGCAGCGTGAGCAGCTGAAATAGTGTCAATTCATGTGGTATTCTCAGGCTTCTGGCTATTCCTTTATTTGCAAACATACACAGCAAGTTCGGTGACAGTTCTAAACACAGGAAGAATCAAATCTCCTAAGTTACTCTTTGCAGCAAATTGCTCCATGCCAATTTCATGTAGATGATCAGGGGTAAATAATTCTAATGGGTTTAATACTTGAATAGGACCAGACTCCATTTCTGCAAACTGTGTCAGGTTTTCATTGTTCACTTTTAGGATGCTTACACACAATTATGATGACAGAAATATCAAAGAGATCATAATATGTCTTCATGTACAGTCTAACAGAGCCACTATCACTGCTCTTTAAGACTCCGTTTGCTTTGCCTGTTCTAAAGACCTATGTATGGTAGGTAGCTGTATGCTCAGTTCTGTGGTTTTTTTTGTCTTTTAAACAGATTATAAATCTTTCTCCATCTGAAGATACAAATCACATTGACTCACTTTCTACGTCATGTGAGACAACCTCAGCAGACCCTCATCATTTCAATATAGGAACATCTGGCTTTGATGTCTCTTTGCCTGACATGAATAATCTCCAAGTATCTGAAACTTCCAAGGTGAAGGAATTTTGATTTTCTTTCCAACTATAGAATATTTTATATAACATTTTTTAAAGTTCATTTGTCTTAATGCTTCTGAGAAAGGTATGGTCTCTTGAGGCAAGTATATTCACACTTTCTGTCTATATAATGGCAGTATAAAAAAGACATTCATATGTTTCTGTACGTTCATACTTGCTCTTTTCTACTTACACTATTCTCATTAAAAGAGTTGTATTTATTGTTTCTTAAATATATTGCTTTTCAAATTCACCAGAATGCTACTAGCTAATTGTAAGATAAATTCATGAACAGGGTAGACTCTAAGGGAATGCAGTTTTGTTCTTCAAGCTGGTTTTAAAGGCCGTTTTGCTAACTTGTGTGTGGGTGTATGCATGTATCCTCAGATTTTTTCGTATGTGGGAACCTATTGTACAGTTGTGTGCACTGGATTCAGTTCTTGCTTTTTGGCATAAATCTAAAATTCATAATCACAATATTAAGCCAGCTTTTTGAGGGGGGAGGCAGTTTGTGAAGATGAAACAGCCATATTCAGCCCTGTTTATTTCAGACAGTTGTATAAGAAGATGCAACCTGAACATAAGGTTGGTAAAAGATCACCATTGTGTGAGTGTCTGTTAATTTTCTGTTTGATAATATTTCTGTTTGATCCTTTTATGTATGGGAGATCAGATGATTCTGCTGCTCTTGCTCTCACTTTCTCCCAAGATATTGAATACGAAGATTTGGGTTGGTTTTTCGTTTGTTTTTGGGTGGTTTTATGACACCAGGAAGGCACTGTCTGTCATGTCAGAGCTGGTGTCCTCTACAGAAGAGCAGCATAAGAGAATGGGGCAGCGAAGAATGTAAATGTCTTGTGTGACCACCAGCTTTCATTCCAGTTCCTGCCTTCCATGCAGCCACAAATACGTGATTGCAAATAGGGGATGTAGTGTTGCATATAGCAAAAGTCATGGACGCTTGTGGAGGGCAGGGGGCAGGGAAGGAGCTTGGAGCTGGGCTGCCTGTTCTGTGTGTCAGAAAATTCCCCAAGGAAGAAGGGATAGGAGGAGGGGGCTGTGATGAGGAGAGGAGGGGAACCCTGCAAAATAGCGATACTGAAAAAGAGAAACTGATATATGAAAACAAATGTTGGTAGATGAGTTACCTCAGCAAGTACCAGCGGTGGAATCTGGCAGAATTTCAGCTCGGGAACCTGCGGTAAGAGCAGACACCCTGGCAGGGCTCATGCAGCCAGATACATGAGCGACTGGTCGGTGAGTTAAGAATTGCAGATTGCAGGTCACGAGTGCCCTGTAAGCCAGGATTTCCTCTTTAGTGTCCCAACAGTCATGCAGCAGTGTTCATCAAAAAGTGAAAAGCTCTGGAAAAGGAAAGGTAAAGAAGTAAATAATGAAAAATCCAGTTTTCAGGCAAATTCAGCTAGTCCTGGGACAGCTTTGATACCAGTGAAGTGCATGATCCAAGTTTACAGACACTTGCTAATGTTACAAGGATGGTGTTTTAGTTGCTAAATGTTACACAGGAAGCTTTGTTAGTGTTTCTTTTTGTTTGTTTGTTTTCTGAAACATACTTCTAGTATTCATACTTGCGTATTTTTACTGAAAACAAACTGGAGTCAGTAAAAACAAAGTTAAAAGACCTGGTTTGTTATTTATTTTAAGCAAGAAATCATCCAATTTCTGATCAGAAAACCTGAAGCTTGCTCTTAACTGATTTTACTTTATAAGATAACACAAAATCTCTGCTCTTTCCTGTTTCTCTTTTCCTCTGTGTTTCTATTTTCAGTGTGCTGATGGTATATTGGCAATGCAGAGGTATATTCTTGTTTCTTCTTTAGTACAAAGATGTTTAATGCAAAACGTTTTGGTTATGTTATCATAATCAAAACTATCACCTTTACTTTAAATAGAATAAATGCTGCCAAAAATGACAGCAACAGACAGATTAAGTAAGGCTTTCTGAAATATCTCAGTGCCAAAATGAAGCTGTCAATGATCTAATTGCAAGAAATTAATTAAATTTATTTTCTGTTAAAAGTAGTGATTGCAACACTTAAGAAATCTATAAGAAATTAGTAAGTAGTGATAACACTGTGAGCAGTACAAAGGTTTAGATGTTATTTTATATCTTTTCAAATTATCCCCACTTTCTGGAAGTGTATCCCAATTTAGTGCACACTTTTTTATTTTGCCTTTTGGACATTTTAGGAGACTCTGCTGGGTGTGGGGAGGTGTTTCTTTCTTTTTTATTCCTCCTTCACCAGTTGCCATCAAAATCTGTTTTCCTCATATATGAACTTTCATTGCCGTAATAAACTTAATAAACGTAAGAAAGTTAATATTAACAGCTTCCTGAAGAAGTATAAAACATAAAACGTTTATGCTTCTTGCCACATACTCTGACTTCTATTCTGGTAAATTGGCTATATGGCTTTTGTTTCTTATTTCAGGACGGTTTGTGCTCTGAATCATTTCATCTGGCCTAGACTCAGGAACATTCCTATCCTTCCTGCTTTTAAAAGAAAACAAAACAAAACAAAAATCTTTCTTACTTAATTCTGATCCTGTCCTCTCTGATACAAATCTTTAATTTTCTGAAATTTACGTCCCGGAATTTTTCTTTACAACTCAGACAGGTCTGGTAACTTCTAAGGGCCACTTCTCTCTTCAAATTCAGCTTTTCACAGATTTCCCTCCCTCACGTCTCCCAACATGTAGATGTACAAGCAGATGCACATGTGTACACACACACACACACACACACCCCTTTTGAGCTACCCCAACCAGATAAGGGAGCTACACGCTGCAGTTATCCTAACAGAAACTGCTATGTAGAGATGCTACTGATGCAATGAAAGGCAAAAGGCTAGAAATGAAAAAATATGCAGACTAAAACTGCAAGAGAAACAAAGAAGCAGCAAGAAAGTTCAAAACCTTTAGGTGTTAATGGGCAAAAGCAGAAGGAAATGGTAAAAGTATAATCCTTCTAGTGGCCTGTAAAAAGCTTTGGATAGTTTTTGGCAGTTATTATGTAACTATGAGAAAACAGAGAAAAGGAGAATTGAGAAACAAAAATTCTCAATTCTAAGCATGTATTTAGTCCTCCAGATGATTCTTTTTCAGCATATTTTTGAGAGTCTTTGGTACCTGCACGAAGTGAAAAAATGACAAGAATAGCCTGGCAGGAACAAGAACTCCAGTGTTTTTCCTGAAAAAATACTTCATTTTTATGTCGCCAAATGTGTTGAATTCTGAAATTCTTTGCTGGATGAACTGAGTTGAAGAAATGTCTCTAAAACCAGTATGATTCAAGTCAGCAAGTTAAGCAAATACAGTATTTTTGAAGTGTAACTTCATTTATGTCATTTATAATGTATGGCTTTGCATTTTAACATGATGGCCAGTGTCTTTTTTGTTTTTGTTTAATCTTTTCCAGTTATTAGTGGAGTGAACTCACTGTTTTTCTGTTTGCTGTTGCGTTGCTCATAGTTCTTTATGTTTGCTCCCTTAGGCTGAAGCCATCCATGAAGAGCAAGATACAGCAGCCCATGAAGATGACCTTTCTGGGTCTACAAATGAACTGCCTGGAGCATTTGAATGCAGTGATAGCCTTAGCCTGGATATGACAGAGACTGAGGAGAAAGTTGACAGGCTGGAACAATTTGCTCTTGCCAGGTATAAATTCTTGCTTACACGGGATCTTTTTCACTGTACAACAAAATGGAAGCAAGGCCTTAAGCAATTTCATCATTGAAATTATATTTTGGACATAATAGATGTAAAATACTCATAAGTTTAAGCAGTGAGAATGCCCACTGTGCCTCTATAGTTATCACAAACCCCAAACAGCAAGATTTTCCTTGCAGAAGAATCGAGTACATAATCTGTGCAGTTAGTCATTATGTACATAATGTATTTCATAAAGAGCCAGGAGGATTTTTAAAGATTTGTGGCATTGGCAATACTGCCTAGTGAACTGTTCAAAGCCGTATAATCCATGCATTCATCTTTTTGATGACTTATGGGTCATAAAAGGTCGCAATATTATCAAAAATGCCATCTGTATGTTCTTGAGGCTCGTTTACATGTTTCTGCAAGGCCGCGCAGAGCGCAGCTCTTTCCAATTATGAATGGAGTTCAGTCTGACTGCAGTCAGCCCAGCTTCATGAGAAACTGTAAACTGTATGACAACAACAACAACAACAACAAAAACAGTCTTCTGAAATGGGGAAGGAGAGATGATAATGGTCTGAAGATAGAGACCCTGTTTTGTAGGTTTTTTTCTCACTGTGGCCCACCCATTGCCAATCCTCTGAAGTATTTGTAAAGCTCATGGCTCTTTTTAAAAGATGCCATAATTGGTCCTCTGATTATATCTCTTTGCTATAGCGTACTTTATTTGGGACCTCCTGGGTATTTCAGCAGAGTTTTTCCTATTCTCCCTCAGTTTTGGAGATGCCGACCGGAACGCCTCGCCGCCTCCCTCGCCGTTTTTCTCCGCCATCCTCGCAGCGTTTCAGCCGGCAGCGTGTGACGACGCCGAGGAGGCCTGGCGCAGCCACATCAACCAGCTCATGGGCGACTCCGATGGCTCCTGCGCCGTTTATACATTTCATGTGTTCTCTTCCCTGTTTAAGGTAAAAAAAAAAAAGTTTAAGACTCAAAAGTCACGTGTTTTAGATTGTTCACAACTATTAGGAGTTAGTTAGTAACTGTAATGAACTAACAGTAACCGTAGCCGCTACAATTTTGTGTGTTGCACAAATAACACCAAAATAATAATTTTACCAGATTTTCATGCAGAGCTGTCTTTTATGACCAGTTTTATCATAAGTATATTATGTACCTCACACTTGCAGGTTCGAAGATAACATTACAAGATGTGGATTCAGTTTAAGGAATATTCTCTACTCTGCGAATAGCCCAAAGCAGTAACTACAGGAGACAGTAAATAGCCTGCAGCAAATCTGCAGCAAATCTTTTCGTATTAAACTGTTGAAATCTGAGGATGCCTGTGTAAGGTCAACCTGATTAAACACTGTGCAGCCAATCATCTTAATATAAATATCTAGCTGCCATGATGTAGTTTAAATTCCAAACTACAAGTCTATACACCCAAAATCCACTTCTGCCTTCTAAAACCATATGTAACACTAGTGCAAATGTAAGCATCCTGCAAAAATATAAGGGGAAAAAAAAGGCAAATATACCAGTTATTCTAAAGAATGATTATTTTCAAAGGTACCTAATTTTGAAGGCTGTTTAACTGCATTTTCTTCCGCTTTATGTGAGATGTGTGCAGGATAGCTATCTTGCTGCACCAAGGCACACACCAGCCAAGTATCTTCATGCAGGTAGTTTAAGTTCACATAGTCTCAGACCATAGGGAACTCTTTGAATAGCAAGGTGCCCTACTAATAAACACACTATCTCAAGACCTTTGCAGATATATTTAAGACTATATTGGTTTGAGGAAGAAGCATCATATGTTAGGAATTTTGTTTTCCATCCTGTTTGCTCAGTGTTTCACCTGGGTTAATTCGTCTTCTCGAGCTGCATCCTCTGTGTTACGCTTTAAACATTGCACCACTGGAAACATAGGTGCCTAAAGTTAGGCATCCTTTAGAAAACTGTCTGACAAATAACTCTTTATAAAAATAAAGCAAAAACAGTTCTAACCGGAGTACATGACAGCTCGACTTCAAAAATGTGTCCTGTGTTTGTTCATGACACGTATTTCAGCTTTCCTTGTTTCAGGCCTAGAGATTAGTGTTCCGAGAATTGTTTTTCCTTTCACTCACTGTTGAAGGAACTGCTGTCATGCAATTCTGAAATCTAAAACAGCAACTGATCCTGAATAGTGCAAGACCTTAAAATTACCTGTCCATTCAACTCCAACGTCTGTCATTTGCTGTTGTGCTTGCCTTATTTTAATGAGATAGCCTCCTTATTTTCTTCAGCTGAAACTGGAGGAGAAAGACATAACACTGTTCTTGGAAAAAAAAAAATTCTGCAGCAAAAGCTGAGAAACAGTGAGGAAAATTGAAGGTGCTAGTATGTGTCAAAAAACCAATATTTTCTAGCTAAGTGGAGGTATTTTTCACCTGTAAGAATAGCTTTGTTCTCTTATTTAGGGTTAAAACATAGGAGTATTATTATGGATGTGTTTTGGCACTAAGAGTGCAGCTCGCCTGGAATTGTTTTTTGTTTGCTCCTTAAAACTCTGCTACTCGTCACTAGCTTAAAAGGCTTTCGACCCTCACCAACAGGAAGTTTCAGAAACAAGCCTAATATGTGCTAGGCTTGCAACATGAAATACTGCCAAAATATTCAGCAGTGCAACAAAATCCTTGTTTGGAGCAGCCTGTCAACTTAATATTTGAAGTGAAAGAAGTTTGTTTTCCAGGGCACCTATATTTCAGGCTGCATCAAGTTAATGGTATCTTGGATGTTTGCCTACAGCGTGCTGAACTTGTTTAAAATTCCTGAAATTATTGAAGTACTTCTCCTGTAAACTAGTGGTATCTCAGAGATCTATGGATAATCTTTATGGCTCCTGCTCTAAGCTGCCTCTTTGTATTCAGTCAAATCAAATCTCTTCCAGCAGACCCTCCGGTTCCAAGACACACAAATTTGAGAGCTAGCAAGTATTTTTCATAATCGAGCCTTTCTGTTACTAAAAAACTTATTCCTAGCTAGAAGAAAACATCCGGTTAAGAAAAAAAATCCTGAGAATATTTTGTTCTTATTTACATTCACCTAAAACACACCGTGACTGTATACTTACTTGCATATATGACATTCGTATATTTGATGCGTACCTTTTCATAAAGGCTTCCTTCAGGTCTTGCTGGAAGGATTTCAATCGTTCTGAGTAATCTGCACCCAGAAGGACAGAACTAAGATAACTCATTATAGAACTAATAACTCATTGTAGTTGCAAAACAAGTGCATTTAGTGAAGTAATAGACACCAATGTGTCCGTGATCAATCTGCAGTCACAGACCACTTGTAAAAGAGTAACCAGGTCTTTTCCTACAAAATTCTGCCTTCCTGATTATTCTGCGTCCTGAATGTGCTTTGTTGATTGTTCCTACTGAGGTGAAGAACTTTGTCCTTTTTTCCTTTCTGCAATTTACCAGGATAATTTTGAATTATACTCTGGTCCTCCAAGGAGCTTGCAGCCCTGCAGCTTAATCGTCCATGCGTTCAATAAGCACGTTGCAAATTCCATCATTCAGTATTTCCATTCATGCCTTGGGTAGTGCCTACCTGAGACAAATCCCAGTGTTATCCTGTTAGATTTGTCTTTCCAGTTGGTTACCTCTAGGCCAGACTTCTCTTCCCTACTTATAGGATAGTAAATGAATTAATGTATATCAGATCAATTGCTTCTGTCCCTAAGTAAAGCTTTTACCCTTTGTGGAAATGAGATTGGCTTGATATGATTTGTTCTGAATAAAGTGGTTTGCCTGTTATTCATCCCCAATGTGTTCCCACATTTCCTTAAACCCTGGGCTCTCATTTTTTTTGAGATGAACACTTTCTTCAGGTTTTGTATGACTCCCTGAGTTGTCAAAGATAATTGTGGCTCCTAGACCTCTTTAGCTATTTTAGCATGAATAGCCCTAATCCCCAGGGAGGTGAAAATTTCTGAGTGCTTTCTAGCGAGATCTGTTCTCATCTGATTTGTTAGCTGTTTAAGCTGTATAGATGTCCTTTCTGGGAAAAGAAAGGTAAAAGAAGGCATTCAGTAATTCTGTCTTTTCAGTAACATTTGTTAGTAGCTATTCATCTCCAGTATGAGTTCTGGTTCTTCCTCTTAAGTATTTCTAGAACAGTCTTTTGTCATTCTTTCTGACTCTTGCTACTATTAGTTGGCATTTCAGTCTCTGGCTGTGGTGCCTACATTGTCATGCTATTTTTGGTGCCCAAATTTAGTAATTTAACCCAGTTTCACTTATTGTTCTCTCTTTATTTTTTTTGCCTTTCTCTTTGCATGAGCAAAATATTTGTTGTTTAGCCGCATGCATATCTTAATATATTTTCTGTCTTGCTGTTAATTCCTCTTCCCTACAAATCCTGCATGCTTTGAAGTATTTATTTCTGTAGCCATCCCTTCACTGCCTCAGAATCAGTCATTCTTCACCAGGAGGGGAGCACAGAGCTACAACAGGTCACCCTGAGAGGCTGGGGAAGCTCTGAGCTTGGAGCCTGCAGGACGCAACTTGGCTTGACCTAGTCTGATCAATAGTCCTGCTTCAACTTGAAGTCTGAAGTAGGTGATCCGCAGAGGTCCCTTCCAAGCAACATTTCTAGGATTCTGCTCCATAAGCCCTTTTTGTCCAATTTGCTTTCCATGTTTAAAGTCTCAGCTAGGTCTTTCAGCTCTTAGGATCAAATTGGAATTTCTCCCTCCAAAACACAATTAGCAGTTTCAGAAATTTCAGCTAGCACCAATTTCACCAAAAACTGTGACTGAATCTTTATTTTGAGAAGATAGCTAAGCAGAGATTTCCCAGTGTCATCAGTGCCAGTGATTTGAATGATTCTGCTAGTTAATCATAAAAATATTCATTTACTGGGTTTGGTGCCCTATGCTAGAACCCAACAATGTCAATATCTCTGTCATTTCCCAATCTTTATTATTATTTAGAGACTTTCAGAATTATGTGTTCTGCCTTTTGATATACATGGCAAAATCCTTATTCTGGAACCTGCCACTGCTTCTTAACTGAGCAAATCTAATTAGTGTTCCAGCTATGGAAATTATGCTGCAAGTATGTGATGAGCTGCCTAATTTTGTCATTCTGATCATGCACTATGATTTTGAGGTTCTTTTGCTTATTAGCCTACTCCTTCTGGCTATTTTTGTTTGTCTGTTTTCCAATAATATGTTTTCTTCTAGCTTTAACCACTTGTTCCACTGTGTAATGAACAATTTCAGTTTACTGTCTTTGGGCAGAAGACATACCAGCTTCATTCTTACTAAACAGGCTAACATAATTCATGTGTAAGTGATGCCCAAATGTATGAGTTGGATTGAAGGCCCACTTTGAAAGTCTGATCTGTATAAATTATCTAGTGGAATCTGTGTTTTTTCATTCTGTTCATGAAAAGAAAATAGGCAACTACTGTTCTTGAAAAGAAAATAGCTCTGGCTTCAATTGATTTATAGTAGAAACAGTCGCTTTGTTCAGACTCAAAAATTGCATCTATCTGTTTTTTAGCCTGCAGCATTTGTCTGATCCCACAGGAATTGTGAAGATGGTAACATGGACAAACAAGAAATTAATTGCATGAATATTTATTCTTCACATTCTGTGATCACAGCCATTCAGAGAAACAATGATTTACGCCCTTTTATGAATGTTGGTGCCCATGAGCACCAAGCCAGTGCTGTGCACAGGTTATTCTTCATGAATTTTCATGATTTTTTTTTAATTTGTCCACTGTCTGTAAGAAAATACAGATGGCTAGGGAAAGATCATAAAATATTAAAGTATTAGAATTATGTCCTGCCCTATTTTGCCAGTGCAATGAACCCAGCTTCCTGTCAGGGTGGGAAGCTGGGAGCTTTCTGGGGGTCACTGAATCCAACTGCTCCATCCTCTGCTGTAAATGGTGCAACAGAGAGTCTGGACAACAGACAGGCTGACACATGTCACGTTTTGTTTCAGTGTTGGAGTAAAAGGATAAAAACACATGATAAGACAAGTATCAGTCTCTTCTTGTCTACTATCAGGGCCAGTTCAGGTGCTTTAGAGAGAGGTTTACAAATAAGCAATTACTTAATAATTCGTCTGTAGAGAAAACTGTTTTAGACATCTTATCAATTATTTTTGCTTTATACCCCCAAACTGATAGTCTATAAAGCTTTGTTTTTAAGTCCACTCTTACATTATCCATAAAGTTCTGGATTCAGCTCAGCTGATTTTTGGTACTTCACTTACATGCCCCAAAGTAGAAGCAATAGCAGATTATTCATATGTTAGCGATCAGAATAGATGTTTGAAAAGCGCTTAGATCTCTCTGATAGGGAATACTTACACTGATATGGGTACAATATACATTCCTCTCATAAATGCCTATGGTTAAGTGAGATAAATCGTGTAGAAATGAATTTTATTTTAAAAACCATGTTACTCCCACCTGCTGAGCTGCTGTCCTTAATGAGGTATATTTTGGTAATGAAACCTGCTGTGCATGTATCTGTATAACTGTTTCACTTCCTGGAAGACTAACATTGTTTTTACTTATTATTCATTTTAATGTATTATTTATGTATTTGCTGGAAAAAAAAAAAAAAAAAAAAAAAAAAAAAAGAAAGTAATAGCCCTAGACTGCCTCTGGAAGGCTGGACTGTTTTAGAACAAAAAGAAAACCTTCTGAGAAGAATAATTCCCGGATGCAATGCAGTATTTCTGGAGTGCTTCCAAGCAGCAGGAAAAGTTTTTCCCACAGGGGAAAACAGAGCTACTTTTATGATTTTTCCATGCTGCTGTTTGGCATTAGGATGTTCTTTACATTATCTGATTAGCCATTTGACATGGAATAGTAATAAAACAATGCCCGGAATGGGCAGAAAAGTATTGTGTTTATCAACTCAATTAACTATGTAGAACTAAGAAAAATGCTACATGAGTGTAGAAGGCTTTGTAAAGAATGAATCACCTTTAAAGAAAAGAAATACATTTCAGTAGTAGATATAAGTTCTATGACTAGTTTCACAACTGCCCAGTAGAAGGAACTTGTATCCACCATGACAGTTATTACTCAGGATCCTTGAGCAAACATTCAGTTCTCCACAGGGAGATGTTCTCTTTTGCACATGTTATTTTATGAAGAAAAAAAATGCATAGCATTTGTTTACAAAGGAAAGAAGCTTGTACTTGAGCGAAAAATGTGATAGGCCCTGTTCTGCTTTACAGAATATTCAGAAACGATTCTGCTTCCTAACGTGCGACGCAGCTAGTTACCTGGGAGACAACCTGCGAGGAATAGGCTCCAAGTTTGTCAGGTCTTCTCAGATGTTAACATCGTGTTCGGAATGTCCGACCCTTTTCGTAGATGCAGAAACAGTGAGTATATTCCTTTAGAAAGCCACTTGCTGCACTGCAGTGGGTTATTTCACTGGTTATTTCGCTTACAGTTGATTCTTGAACAAATATGTCAAGAGGGTACCCGCCTCCTCTCTCTGACTTCATATCTCCTGTTCTGGGACATGTGAAAAAATTGCCTACCAGACCCAGATAGCTCTCTAAAAGGAAAAGGAGAGCTATTTTTTGCATATTTTGGTATGAAAGATGACAGTATCTTCTGTGACCGAACTGTGCTGTGAGCTGGGTGATGAAACTGTGTAATAGGAAATGAGACCAGTCTTCCCAGGGTTCTTATTCTGACCCTATTCATCCAGCAGTCTCAGGTCCGTGTGGCCTCGTGCAGGAATACAGAGGTAGGAATTTCGAAAGTGTAATCCCCCGACCAGCTTTTCACCCCCTGCTGTGACCATGGGAAAGATGAGGCTTTCATAGAACCATAGAATACCTAAGGTTGGAAGGGACCTCTAGAGGTCATCTAGTCCAAGCCCCCTGCACATGCAGGGTCACCTAGAGCACGTGGCACAGGACTGCGTCCAAGCGGTTTTTGAAGATCTCCAGAGAAGGAGACTCCACAACCTCTCTGGGCAGCCTGTTCCAGGGCTCTGTCACCCTCACTGTTAAGAATTTTTTCCTTAAGTTCCTGTGGAACTTTTGGTAGATATATATATATAGTAGAGCTGTGCAGATTATGTCCTTCTTAAGATATGTGCAATATTTTATTTTAGAGAAATCCTATGTTGTTAAACACGGAGGACAATTTCATCTCCAGAATGTGCACAGGCACTGTTGGGTTTTCGATATAATATACACTTTCTATATATTGTATTGATATAAATATAAAATCAAATATTTTTCAGTAGCAATATCTTTAAATCTAAGTATTATTTTCCAAAGCCTTTTCTGTTCTGTCCTTCCAGTTCTACTTTTTTTTAAAAAAAAATCCTTTTATAAGTGACATTTACTAACCATTTGAAATTAATTTCTCCAGCTTCTCTCCTGCGGTCTTCTTGAAAAGCTGAAATTCAGTGTTCTAGAACTGCAAGAGTATCTGGACACATATAACAACAGGAAAGAAGCAACTCTCTCGGTAAGCTGGACTATATATATGTAGATATATATATATAGTATGTATACTTATTCTTTGTCATGTGACTGCAAATCAAATCAGGACTGGTTAAATGAATATTAACTAAAACAATGTGTTTCAAATATTGGATTCATTAAAAGTTATTTCCAGAACATAGGAACCAATGCTAAAAAAAAAGACAATTGCATCCCTTAAAATCTTTTCTAATATTCCTGGTCTTTCCTTTACCCTACCTCATTTTCTTGATATGTTCAATTCAAGTTACAGCCAAAGCAAATTGTCTGCTGCTGGAATAAGGAATTCAACTACAAATTTTTGTGTTTACATACTATACTGTGAAACTGAAATATTTCTGCAAATCAAGCTATAGACCTTATTTATATCTTCTTTTAATTTCTCTCTGAAAACAGTGGCTTGCAAACTGCAAGGCAACATTTGCTGGGGGCTCACGAGACGGAGTTGTCACCTGCCAGCCAGGGGACTCAGAAGAGAAGGTAATGAACGAGCAGAACCATTTCACTCCTCTAGAGTGACACATCTGACGTATCTTTTTCTTGGAGCCTCTGGAGTCTGATGCCTCCTTGTCTGTGTGCTGGGCTTGGGCATAGCCCAGTTCTGCGCTCGGGGCTCTCAGGCGCCCGTGTTGCCTGTCACAGCAGCAGTCTCCCACTGCACAGTGTCCCTGACCATCTCTCCCGTTGGCCTCTGCTTCCACATTGTGCCCATTGCACCGAGAGCCGCTGGAGTCAGTCTGCCCAGCAGCACCTGGGTCTTTTGGGCTTGATCTCCGATTCCCGAAATGTGAGACTTGTCAGATGTAAAGCCAGTAGACTGGTAGGAACAAAACAGTGACTGTGAAGTAAAATGATTCATGCTGTACAGAGCTATTTATGGGAAAACCAAAATACCTCTTACATCTCTTTTGAACAGAGGTTTTACAAAGATGCATGAATATATCTATCCACATACACACACGCACAAGTATATACCTCGTGTATTGATTCCAGTTAAGGTATCAATATTTTTAGAAAACAGCACCATCAGCTGGTATCTTGATTGATACAGTATGAACAGGAAATAGTTGGTATCTCAGTGAAATACTGTTTTGTGACTTTTTTTCTCTGAGGGAAGAAAGAATGAAGGGATGGGGAAAAGGGTAAGTTGAGGAAAAGGAGCTAGAATCAGGAAACAGCATCAGCATGTAGAAAAACACTGACATCTCCTCTCTCCATGTTTTGTAAAAAAAATGATGACATTTTCACCCTATTTTACACCATGTTTTAGCCATTTTTTTCAGATCCTGTTTTCTTCTCAAGTTGGTTTCAGTTTATTCCTCTCTCTGTCACCTCCTACAATTTTCTTTCCTTTTGTTTTTATATTAATATCTCTTTCCTTCATCTCCCTATATCTCTGCCTGTCTTCGTTCTCCCATGATTTTTCATTGCCCAGTAATCCCAAATCCTTGTCACCACTGCATTTAAATTTCCTCAATCCTATTAGCCTTAAAATCTCTGGATAGAATCACACCTCCTGGCAAACTAACTGGCATTGGCATCAGCAAAAGTTACACATACTTTCCAATACATTTAAATAAGAGATTCCTTTCCTTGATTTGAGTGATACACAGGTATATTATGAGTGAACTATTCCCAAAAGTTTTTTTAAAAAAGGGGGTGGACCTGGGACACATGCTACTACCTCTCCTGTGAGAGACACCCTGAACAGTGACTTTGGCCAGTAGATGTTACATGGCTTGCTCTGTACAGCGTATTCCTGCTCTTCATCCCTCTTGTTAAAATATATAAAATGGGATGGAGGATAACATGTCCAGCTGATGACCAACTTTGTTTCTTTTTTAAAAAAGTAGAGCAGAGCAAATGTTATGAAGAAATAGATAATGAACTGAGCCCATACTTAGAGGGCCTAAAGTATCTGAAAGTTAGAAGTATCATATTCCATTTGTATTTTTTTTAGTTAAATGTTCTGCTTGAAAATTAAAAGTATGTTTTGTGAAGCCAGGGTTAATGTCTTTACTGCAGAAAAGGAAGATTTCTCATTCCTGCAGGAATCCCTGGTCTCTCCCCAGAAATGTTCTTTCAGCCCAAAATGTATGTTATTCCTTGGAAGTTGACATGAGGACTTTGCTGAGATAGTTCAAAGTGTGCCTGTTGCTTTGGGTTTCCTTGTGGCTGCAGGTTTGGACAGGTGTGATGTTCACTGGCTGCTTGAAAGACTGTGCAAAATATGCCAAGACTGATCATTCAGTATTTCCACCTACCACAGACACTACTTGAGCAGGGACTAAGAAATGTCAGCTAGTTCCAAAATTATCATCTTGTCAACCTCCAGGGAATATTTAAATTTATGCTGTAGGATATAGAAAGAGGAGTTAAAATCATCAAGGTACAGAGCCATGTTAAGTAAAGTACCAGTAATTTAGGGATATGTTGCGATATTTATTGAAAGATCAGTATATTTTCTTTCAGTGTTGGAGGGTTTTCATGAATCTTTCTTCCTTCTTCCCTCCGCCCTCTCCAGAGGACTAAAGACAAGTTTTGCAAGACTGTTTTTCTGGGGGAACTATGACCACAGAATTCACTTGCATGCTGCTTTCTTCCTTCTCCTATAAAGTAAATTCCATGGCAAGTTAGAAATCATATATGGATTTGAATACTTTTAAAAGCCCAAATGAAACTTAGCAGCATGCTGAAATTCAGAGGAGCCTCAGATGCAAACAAGATTTGAAAACCTCACAGCAGCATACCTGCGACTTCCCTGCAGCACAGTGATCTGTCTCCTCGCTTCATCTTCTTGTCTTAAATTTAGCTTTACAAAGCTTGACTTACCTGAACTGTAGGCAATTTGACAAGATATAAAGGACTTTTTTTTCGGAGTACTCTCTACAGGGAAAAATATTCAAATAAATGCACAAAATTGAACATCAGGTGTAAAGCTTAGTTTGTCAGGGTTGTATGGAAGAGTAGGAAAATAATTTTAATACATTTTAATAATAAAGTCTATGGAAAGAAGCCAGGCGGAAATGTTTGTCTATGCTGAGTTAGCATTATTTAACATTTCTACATTTGCTGCTGCCTTTGCATTGATGGTAATATAAATAATTTTAATAAAAATTACAAATGTTTATTCACATTGTGTTTGTATGCACTGACATCTGGCTCTAACAGGGCAGATGTCCTTGTGGTTTGTTAGTTACAACCATACATGCTGGCTCTGTTGATCTAAGACGCCATGAGGATATAATATACATAATATTGAAAGCTGCATTAGGAATGCACAATTGATTGATACAAAGGTTAAGTTCTTGACAAAGAAAAGAGGTCTTCTCTTTGAGGATAGAAGTTTATTTCTGAGACATTATTCTTCTAATCATTGAAGTGCTACAGGTCAATTAGACATTTTATTTACTATTGCAACAGGTCTATTGCTCCAGAACAATTTAAAAAAAATCAGTGAATTGTTACTGGTGAGAGGAGGAAATACGAGTCTGTCTGAACTTACAGCACTGCCATGGAATTGAACCAATCTGTCATTTTCCTTGGATTTATTATTATTATTATGACAGCCATAACTTGAGTTAAATGCAGAATGTTTCCATTGGAATGTGCCAAGTAATAAACCCAACAGTCACAAGCTTTATCCTGGAAATTTCATTAGCTCTGTGATATCCAAAAATTGAGGTATTAATAAATAACCAAATATTTATAAATAACAAAGTTCAGTTCTGTCAATCACTTGAAAACCCTGCATTTTGAGTACTTCTGCGATATGAGCTCAATCATTTCAGTAATAGAGAGCAAATTTAAGTAAAGGCGTTATTTCAAGAGTTTTCTAACACCATTTTACTGCTGGTTCCAGAATAGGATAAACCAAAACTAATAAATCTGAGGAGCTATCTAAGAATATTTAGTCTGTTATTTACCATTAAAATTAAAGCTTGATTTTATTTGGTGAGACTGCTGTGCATGTTGTATGTGGTATTTCCAACCAGTTGTCAGGTTGAGGCAAGCATTGCTAATACTGCTGACAAGTTATGCTATTAAAGATGGGCTGTGCTTCCTATTGCATGCGTTACACTGACACTATACTTTCTTTCCTTTCCTTTTTTCCTGTGCCATGCTTGCTGTGTAGCAAATGGAATCTCTTGCAGTAAGTTGAAGTTCTTTCATATTCTTTGTCCATCTCTAGATGGACTAATACACCCCAATTTTACTGATTTACCTCTAAGCATGCTTTCCTTTTTCATTATGATTTTTCTCTGTAGAAAATGTGGTTCTACATGCAGTGACTAAAATAATTTACTAAGGTGTGTTTTGTGAAATCTAAAAGTACAAAGGCAAGATTCTGACATTTTTCAGAGTCATGCTGACCCTGCTAAACAGCATTTCATTGCTGTTTAGAATGGTCATTTGAGATAACTTTTAAAATTTAAATCTTGGCTATTTTAAAATTCTTATTTTTTATTTTGTCTTTGTGCAAAGCTACAATTTATAATTGATGATTACATTTCAAAATGTTCTTGTTTATATATTGATGAATAGTTTCACTATTATTGGTTTCTAATACCCTGGAAGAAAGAAAAATGAGTCTGGCCTGATTCTTAAAGCTGACTTTAGTTTGTCTTAATTCAGTTTAGCAGCCAGTGGGGTGAATTAGCAGCCAGTAAAAGTGAATTATTGCTCCTTGAGGACTGAAAAAAAAATCACGAGTTACATGCCAAGCTATCATGAGATTTTTTTTTTTAATTATGTTATACTGTACCCTGGTTTTCAGTTCATTTTTAACTCCCTGACAGCTTCAGGTATATGCGTGTTTAGCTGCTAGTTAGTGTTGCCAGTTCTCCAAAACTTCACCCGAGTGATTTCAACCCAGGCTGCAGAAATGCCGAGCTGAGTCCCCACTCGTGACCCAGCTGGCACCAGGGAGCAAACATGACCGCTCACAGTCCCACGTCCCAGGGTGACACGGCTCCTGCGTGGTCAGCCCAGCCTCTGTCCTGCCTCAGCCTCCTTCAAGAGATACCCAAGCCATGCTTTAAAATGTCACTTCTCATCTCAGGATGTGAAAGTTTAGCCAGAGATGCAGTTTGGGTAGTACTGTGGCCTCACTTCCAGAGAGCGGCCTCTGGGGAGATTTAACAGACTGAGTCCCTCGTGTCCTGCTTTACATTCTCTTGGCCATTGGCACATTTGGTACCTGCTCACAATGCAGTCCTGTCCTAGCAGTTCACACATCCATTTCTGCCTTTTTTCCCTCCTTCTCCCCACCTTGGATCCTCCTGCCCTCCCTTCAGCTCCTGCAGATCCCAGCAGGCCTGCTGGGATCCCGCTTCGTATTTGGGAGGCAGCAGCCTGACCCTGGATCCCCCAGCTGAGGTGCCAGAAATGGTTTCTCCACAGCAACATGGAGCACTGATGAGGCAGATTTACCCCACCACCCTCTGCTTCTGTGGCAGAGCTCTCCCAAGGTGTGGGCAAGCTACCAACATGGAGCAGAAGGAGCTCCATGAGGTGAAGAGCAGCTAACTTGATTCTAACTTTGTTCTCCTCCTGCCTTACCTTGCCCCCATGGAGCACCCATGGGAGGTTTCAGCAGATGGATGGCTCTGCCACGTCGTGGTGGTGCCCTGAACTCACTGTTTGTAGCTAGGTAGTTGCTGCCCGTCCTTGCCTGAAAAAGTAAGTTGTAATTTGCCAAAGAACTAGGGTTTGACCTCAGCCCCTTAGACTTGCCTGGCTTGTAGAGAAATTTGGAGAACTGGAGGCACTAAAAATGTGGTTCTGATTTTGATTTATTAATACAAACTCTTGCACTTTTTTTTCTGATATACCAAAGCATATATAAGCAAACACTTCAATCAAGTTAATGCTTATGATGTTTTTTAAAGGATTTTTTTCTTAATATTGTGCTGGTATTTAGACTGACCGTCAATTCAGCAAATAGCTGAAGTACATGCAGGTAGCTTAGCATGTACAAGGTGCATTAATGCAGCATAGACATTGGTAGCATCCTCTTTTTTTTCTGATATGTTTGGCGTGAAACTCTGCTGTAACTTCCCCAAGCAAATGGAAAGATCTCTGATCCCACCCTTGGTCACTGTGTCTGTGTAGAAGGCAATTCAGATAAGGGTTCCATGTCTGTGAGTCGTTCCTGCCAAAGCAGTGGGAAGCTTCCTCAGTTGTGCTTGCAGAAATTTTACTTCTTCCATAATTTGTGAAAGGTAAAATATAGCCCTGCTTCCCTGTCATGTCCCACCTGTGGAAGTGCTGGATGGCCGTCCTGAGGGACACCCAGGTACCAGCACCGTGAATGTATTAACTTGTCTTCTCCAGCACACACGGACATTTCATTTGACTTTGAGGTGCCTAACATCTTCCATGCGCTGCTGCTCCTCACACCTGGAGAAACAAGTTAATATTCATAAACAGCATCTACTTATTCCTGGGCAGTATGTAGAGGCCACTTTTTTCTTTTCTTTTCCTTTCTTTTTACACGTGCAGCACAGTCTGCCTATTGTATGGCTTCATTAGATGGTGGGAAATCCATGAGCTGAGGTCTAAGTTGCAGAGCTGGCATTTTTGCCTTCCCTCCCCTGGCTGGATTTTCTGTTCTCTCCTCTCATAGAAGCACATAAGAGCTTTGACCCTATAGAGACATATTGTTGCTTCTCTTTGGATTTCCATCCTCTCGGAGGCCTTTGGCCATTTCTGAATATCTGAGAAGTTTTATGTTCTATATGGCAAAGCCATTTTTCCCATTCCCTGCCTCTGCTTTCCTGCTGGAAAATGATAATAATTAAGCTAACCTATGTAAACTGCTTGGAGATCAATGCTGACAAGTGCTATGTTTTGATTTTGATTTTCCATATTGTATATGACCTACCTGCAGAAGGAGTAGTATATTACCTGTTTTCTGAGTAATATATAGTATATGTGTAGTATATGATCATAAATTAGTTAAAAAAATGTTTTTTGATGGAGAACTAATAATTTATGTCTCAAATGTATTTTATTAGCTGTTAAAAGATAGCCCAAATCACTATTCTTTATTAATTATTTATTCTTCTGTAAATTTTTCCTTAGCAACTGGAACTGTGTCAGAGATTATATAAACTCCATTTCCAGCTGCTGTTGCTTTTTCAATCCTACTGTAAACTTATCGGGCAGGTGCATGAAGTCAGCTCCATGCCAGAGGTACGTAAGAAACACTACAAAGTCTTCTACTGAAAAAGCACTTTACCTTCGTCTTCTTATTTTTCTTTCTGTACTGCTGATGATTGACACCAAAAGTTTCACTATTTCACCCTAAATACAAGTCAGCAAAGAAAATAATTCAATACACCAGCATCTTCATTAAAATATAGTTGAGTTACTAGTTTTGGGGGTTTTTTTGACTTTACTTTCAGAGACCGGGTTCTTTTATAAAACGAGTCTTCAGAAGTCATTTGAGTATGGAGTCTTAAATTTACCCACATTCTCTGCTTGTATAGTGTGCTCATACTGTGTGAACTATTTGCAGAAGTGATCCTTTTTTTTTGTAATTGAGATCTTATTTTCAGAGAAACTGAGCTCTTTTTAATGATGTAATTTTCACAAGCACTCTTAAAATATTTTTAACACAATATTCTATATATTTTCTCTATATATCTATTTTGACACAGATAGGTGACTCTTTTATATATATCTACACATCTTACTTACAGAAACACTTCAACAATATTGTAAAGCAAATTTATTTCAGAAATTGCAGAAAATTTGTGCTACTTTGAAAAATGCATCTTTGCACTGTAAATTGAATAATCATCACATAAGGAAATACGTTAAATAAGTTACATTCCCATATGTATTTATTTTCCTGGTAAAATGTGTATTTAAGAATATAGAGGGAGCAAACAATTTTACTTTGATAATAAGCATAAATCAAGATTTCAAACTATAAAATGTATTTTGTAACAGTTTGCAGTAGTCTGCAGATTGTTTAGCAAATAAAAATGTTCTGTTTAATTAGAAGTGTTGTATACAGCACAAGGAGCTTGAACACATTGTATTTTAAGTAGCTGTTCTGAAGGCTCCGTGATGTGGCTAGGATGTTCACATTTCCGAGAAGGAAAGAATTTAGTATTAAGGGTAGTCTAAATAGAATATTTATAAATATTTTGTTTTCCTTATTAGAGGAATGATTTCTATAGCAGTATGTGACAGTTATTATTTTGCTACAATGTTTGTTAGAAATGACACTGCATGCAGAACTGGGGAATACCAGTAAGAGCTCTTGCACCATGGAAATAGCATATTTTGCTGGAGTATTATTTAAAGTATTATTTAAAGGAAGCGACTGTTAGATGTGTCACAGTGGTATGTTTTTTTTTTAAACGTATATGTACATTAACTGGTAGATCTTAAAAAAAAAGTTCATTTATGAATTATTTATCAGCCATTTTAACTTCTCAGCCTGATAAAGGGTTACACAATTCCACCCCATCTCTTAATCGTATCAGATTCTGCATGTGTTCTGTAAATAAATAACATCATTGCTGCTAGCAGAAGTAAATGTTGTTTTCAAAGGATCATAGAATCATAGAATGCTT